CTCTCTCTCTCTCTCTTTGAGAAATTTTTAATTTTCCGCAGCAGCTATAATTAAACCGTAACAACAATAACAATATAAATGAGTAGGCACCTACTGAACTAATTTGCTCAGTGTATGCGTAAATAGCATTGAATTTCAAATAGTATTCTTTTTCCTATGTGTGTGTTTTTGCCTAATTCTTTTTAACGTTTTTAACGTTTCTTTTTTTTTTTTTTGCACTATATATGTATATAATTTTTGTTTTGTTTTTTCGCAACTATTCGCAATTCACGCCCACGGTCAAGCCAAAGGTCAGCGTTTTTTTAAGACCTCTAAGCCCACGAAACAAATGAGCAATGAATGCAAACACACACAATTGTACATGGAAATCCATGGATTGTGTGTGTGTTTCCCTCTTTACACCTCCCCTTATAGCACTTTTGGTTTTGAAAAATTTTTTATTTTCTCTGTAGTTTTTTTTTCTTTTTTTTCTTTTTAATTTCGCCATGAAAAACGCTTGGCAAGAAGCTGGAAGCGTGGAAAAAATCAGTGGAAAATGATGGATAATTGGATGCTCTTTTCAAATGAGTCAGGAAATATTTAATAGAGAAAGAAAAAAATTAAATAATTAAAAATTTAACAAACTACTTATTGGTTTTGTAAAAGAAATGAAAAGATAAATTTTGTTCTTAAAATGTTTGAGGTTTTAAGTGTTTGTTTTTTCTTTCTTAGTTTCGCTGAATTTGCAGGAAATTTACAAAAAAATATATATATATTTACATATATATATTATTAAATATAAATATTTATTCTTTATTCTATTAAATTTTTATGAAAACATTTGCTATTTTAATTATTTCATTTAACTATTAAAACCTTTTCGTGCTTATCAAAGGGAAACTGAAGTAGTAGAAATATATAAAATAACGAAAATTATTTTAGAACGTTAAAATATATTTTTGTGTAAATTTATTCCTTTCTTTTTGTGTCCAAATATTCAAGGTTTAAGTTATTTAACTTAAATATAACCTTTTCTGCGGTAGTAAAATATCAAAGTAATTAATTAATTACATATAGCTTTTGGAATTACTGTTGTGTTGGTATTTATATTGTTTATACATTTTTAACATTATTAAATTATTTTTTTTTGTTTAAATTATTGAGTCTAAACCGTTTCTCTTTATTTTAAAATGACTATTTAACAACTCTTAATGTAAATTAAAGAGATGCAAGATTAAATATGAAATTAAAAATAAATATTATATATAAATTACTGAAGTAAAAGAAGTAAAGAGAAATATATGTTTATAATATCTTATTGTAGTATATTTTATTATATTATTTTATATATTATTTTATTTTATATATTATATTATTTTATATATTATATTATTTTATATATTATATTATTTTATATATTATATTATTTTATATATATATAAAGTTAAATAAATATTTATTAATATTATAAATAAACCTAAGACAAACTGCTTAGAGGAACCCCCTAAGCTCTTCTCTTAATGTGTAGAGTATCATTTCGCACACAAAACTGCTCAATACATATACATGTGAACTTGTGTCTTTTGCGGATGTGTGTGTGTGTTCCCTTGCCGCTCTTCTAAGCAACACCCCCCCCCAAACCCAACCGCCCCCCTTTGGCCCATCTATCGCCCATGTCTATGTGTGTCAAATTTCCAATTGGGTCGCACGCACAAGCTACTTTGTTTTTGTTTGCGAATTTTTTGCGTTTGCTTGTGAGTGTGTGTGTGTGTGGGTATTTTTTCTCTTTTTTTGCGAGCGCGTTGATCGCGGAAACGAAACAAAAACCTTGTCTGTGTGTGTGTGTATATTTTTTATTCTCAGTGTGTGTGTGTGTGTTTTTGAACGCATTGCGTAATCGGCGTTGTACTCTTGCTCTTGCTGGATTTGTTGCTATTTTCTTTACTTTTTTTTTTCTGTGTGGACAGCAGCTTGACAACAAAACAAAGCAGCACCCAAAAAAAAGTAAAACTAAAAAAAAGAGGAAACAAAAAATGGTTGGGTTAAACTTGGTGGCTTTTGCCTAGTTAGCGCCTTAAAAAAAAGACAGAAAGAAAAATTCAGACACACATTCATATGTAGATTTTTTTTTGGTTTTTTAGATATAAGTTTGACGGTCCAAAAGCAGTTAGAAGTCAAAAGTCAACCAAAAAAAATACAAAACAAAACACAGGAAAAAAATTAAAACAAAAACTCGAAACACGTGTAGAAAACCAGAAAAAACGAAGGAGAAATTGGGAAACCCAAAATTTGAGTAATGAATTATATAGTTATAGTTATAGTCAAATTAAAATATATTTTATATAGTTTTAGGGGGAATTTTGAGCTCTATAACATTATAGAATTTTTCTAGAATATATATATATTTTTAATTTTAATGGAAATGTATAAGAGAGTAAAAAATGTGGTCTGGGGAATTCCTTAAAATTATTATTATTGAATGATTTCTATCGAATTATAGTTCTTATAGAATGAATTATAGGGTTATAGAATTAAATACGTTTTATATATTATAGATATTTCGGTTTCTGTTTATTTATTTATTCATGGATTTATTTATATTTAGATTTCTAATTATTTTTTCTTTCTGATCTTAATTTCTAGTTTATAGATATATATATATATATATATATATATATATATATTTTAATATATCTAATAAATTATTACTATTTTCTTTATATCTTTAATATTTTATCACGAAATATAAATCTAAATCCCTTGAAATACCCCTTGGAACCTACCTTAAAATCCCAATTAAAGTTATAGATTTTGTAAAATTTGTACTATAAATATTTTTTATGCTAAATATAAGAAATATATATATTTAACAAAACTGGTCAAAATCGGTTAAATAAGCATATATACCATATATGTTAGCATGCTATAAAGACCAGCTTCGTCAAAAACTTTTGCTATAAATTTTTATTGCCAAAAAAAAAAAATAATAATAAAAGAAAAAAAAAAGGAATTAGATTATTCAAATGAAACCAAGATGAAGTTAATTTGGGAAAAAAGTTTAAAGTAAATTTGGTCAAAAGTTTTAGGTAAATAAAGAAAATAAATATATTATAAATATATAAAAGAAGAAGAAAGAAAAAAAGGAATCCTCAGAAAGTTGAGGTTGACTTTAAAGCCAAAGAGAAAGAAATTGTAATAAGTTATTTTCTAGTAAATTCAACAGAAAATACAAGGAAAATAAGTATTTATAAATAAAAAACAATAATAAACCATAAATTCTTGCTCAAAATAGTTTTAAACATTTCTTTCTCTTAATCTTCTGAATAGTTTATATTAATCTCCTGACCAAATCTTTTAGCCTTGTTGAATTCTTCTACCAGAAGACAGGTAAAAATATACAAATTCTCCGAAAATATACCGTAAAAAACTAAAGATTCGTCACATAGGCAGTAAAAAGAGAAGAAAAAAAACAATAAAAATAAAACAAAAAATATAATGAAATGCCTTTGACTTTTGTACAGTTGTTTCAGGCTTGTTTCTTTTCTAATTCTTCTGCTCTCCTCTCTTTCCTCAGTCTCTTTCTCCCTCTCTCTTTCTCTATGCGGAATTGAAATGCTTCTTTTTTGTGCCTCTTTTTTGTTTTCGTTTGCGAAATTAGCAGCCGCCGTTTTGCGAATTTCTGTATTTTCTTTTATTTCTATTTGCTCTGCCCCTTTTTTTATTTATTTAATTTTGTTTCTTTCTCTTATTTTTTTCTATGTTTTTTTTTTGGGGTAACGCACAAAAGCGCGTTTGCAAAAAAAAAAAAAATAGTAGAAAACGAAGAAGAGTTGTCCCCGAATTTAGGTCAAATGCTCAACTGCCTGCGTGCTGCCGATTTTTTTTGCGAATTTTTTTTTCCTGTCCGCCTTTGCTTATTTTATTTATCTTTTTTGTTGCTATTTTTTTTTTTTTTTGTTTTATGTGAGTGTGCGTTGCTGCTGTTAATGTTTTATTAGCTACTGTGGCCGTTGTTGTTTTTGGTGCTTAACTAACGGTTCATCAAAATGATTGCGCCCGCTTGGAAACAAGTAAAAAAAAATAAGGAAAATAAAGCTAAAAAAAAGTGGTAAAAAAGGGGTAAAAAGGCAACAAAAATACACAAAAAACAATACAAAATGAGAAAAAAGAATATCATTAAAATTGCCTATGAAATTGTTAATGTTTCTTCATGTTCGCGATCTGAATGGTATTAATTATAGTATTTATAGGGGGATTTGAAAGGCCTTTTTACACTTTTTTTGTTTCAATTGTTTCTAAAATCGGAATATTAATTATAGATTTATAAGTATTTTCCTTTTTTATTTAAAATTTATATCTATAATTTTTGTTAATTATAAAATGTATTTTAATAAATTTTCAAAAGGAATATAAATTAGGCACTTTTATATAGTAATTATATATTTTTATACCTTTGTAGGTTAATATAGTTTTAGTTAGAAGCCTAAAACTAAGTGAAGGAATCATTTCCGACCCTATAAATCTGCATAAACAGGCAAATCGATTTAGGTATCTCCGGCAGAAAATTTTTTTTTTCGAAATTTTTTAAAAATTTTTTAAGGGACTTCATCATTAAAATAAAAAAAAAAACAGCTTTCCGAAATAAAATGATTTATTTTTTGTCCAAGTTATGCGATTTTTAAATTTTGATTTGTTAAAATTGTCATAAAAACATTAACAATATTGTTTCAAAGAATGCTAATATTTGAAGCCTTAGTTATGCCTAATAACCGATACGATCCTATAACTCAACTGCAAATTTAAAGGCTATATAAGCTTCGGTTTCCTGAAGTTATTTTCCAAGAGACATTTACGCATTAGCAATAGGCAGAATATATATAAAACAATTTAATCTATATTTTATTGGTATTTTTAATACTTTTCATAAAACTTCCCACAGCTTCCCCCCAAAAAAAAAATTGACTTTAAATCTCTCTTCAGATTCCAAATTTTTTTATAAAATGTCCTTGAAAGTACCAATCTTGGTTATGATTCTTTACAAAAGTCAGGACATGGATGGCTTGGAATTTTGTTACAATAGTTGTGTCCAACTTGAAATTTACAATACATAAATTTACAACTCTTAAATTTATAATTCTTAAGGATAAAATTCTTAAGTTGGCTCTTGACTTACACATCTTCTGGTATGTATATTGTATTGATATGTCTAGTAGTGTGGCATATCCAATTAAGTGAATCCTTATTTTCGGTTGTCCGTTTCTGTAATTGTAATCCAACATTACATACATCTTAAATTTAGTGAATTAGTGTAGTAGCGTCCTGCTCCGGCGATTGTTCGTGGTTCGTAATCCATACATCTTAAATTTAGTAAATTAAGGTAGCGTCCTTCTCTGAAGATTGTTTCTTAGTGAACTTTACATAGTTTTTTCGGGCTGTTTGATACATTTAGGCATCTGACTCATACTTCTTGTTGCACCTTTAAGAAATATATATAAATATATGAGTATATTGATAAGAAATCCGTGATCCAAATTTACATACATCTTAAATTTAGTAAATTAAGGTAGCGTCCTTCTCTGAAGATTGTTTCTTAGTGAACTTTACATAGTTTTTTCGGGCTGTTTGATACATTTAGGCATCTGACTCATACTTCTTGTTGCACCTTTAAGAAATATATTTATAAATATATGAGTATATTGATAAGAAATCCGTGATCCAAATTTACATACATCTTAAATTTAGTAAATTAAGGTAGCGTCCTTCTCTGAAGATTGTTTCTTAGTGAACTTTACATAGTTTTTCGGGCTGTTTGATACATTTAGGCATCTGACTCATACTTCTTGTTGCACCTTTAAGAAATATATTTATAAATATATGAGTATATTGATAAGAAATCCGTGATCCAAATTTACATACATCTTAATGTAGCATTGTGCTCTGGATCGAAGTTTACATACATATCTTGGGGCTTTTGATATATTTAGGCATCTGATTCATGCTTCTTGTTGTATCTTAAAAAATATATATATAAATATATGTGTATATTGATAAGAAATTCTTCCACCTACCTCGAAATCCTCGATTTGGCTTTAGTTTCACGGCGTCTGGCCCTAAGGTTTCGCTTTGTTAAATTGGTCAGAAAAATGGTGAATTTCTTAAGTCTCCTCTGTTGCTGCGCTAGTTTCATCTGGCGATACCTTCTGCTATTCGCCAAGACGCGTCCTGGGCAGCGTTTGGTGGAGCAGTGCAGTAATGGCTTACGTGCGACCTTCTTTTCCACAAAGGGTTCTTCATCGAACTCATCTTCGTCCTCTTCCTTGACCTCTGCCACAGGCGGACGGGTCACCTCGGGACGACGTTCCTGCTAATGAAAGTTTAAAAGAATGTCAAATGAAAATCAAACAGCAGGACAGACAGCAGGAAAGTTGGCAGAAAAGTCAGCTGGAAAGACAGCAGAAAGGCTACGGAAAATTCAGCAGGAAGGCTACCTAAAAGTCAGTAGAAACAACAGCAGAAACGGCAGCAGAAAGGCTACCGAAAAGTCAGCAGTAGAAAAGTCTACGGACAAGTCAGCAGAAAAGTCGACCGAAGAATCAACGGAATTCCAATCGAATATCAACCGATAATCTATCGAATATTAATCGAGAATTAATTGAATAACCATCGAATATCCATCGAATAACCATCGAAAAGTCAATCGAATTTCAATCGTATATCAACCAAAGAATCGCTCCAATTTCAATCGATTACCAACCGAAAAGTCATCTAGAGTTTTACTAAAATCTTACTTTTGGCCTTCCCATTTCCGGCCATTGCTTCACTGCCTCCTTGATGGCCCGTTCCAAATCGCAGCCGAGTATGAGTTGCACTCGCTCGACCAAGTCATAGAACTCCATAACGGTTGCATCATCGGGCATGAAGCGTTTCAAAGCCTCTAGCAGCTGGGGCGAGAGATCCATCTCTTGGGGTGTGAAGCCTGACATGACGATTTTCCCGATATTAAGTAAAAAAATTTGTTCAAAAAATATTGTATTTTATCAAAAAAATTTTTGTTTTTTTTTTTTTTCAAATTTAGATTTCACTTTTTGTATTAAAAATATTTGGTTGGTTTGAAGAGCTAACGAACTATTTTATATGTTACTCGTAGAAGCGGAACGGATATACTGATTTTAGTAAGTTTTAGCTTGACCAGGTAAACTTTTTACTGGGATTTGAAGGCGAAATTCGATTCATGACATACTACGTAAAAATATATATTTCCATAGATTGCTTTGATTACATTTTGTATATTTTAAATAAAGGTTACATTTTAGTTATATTCTTAATAAATTATATATTTATTTCTAATAAGAAAGAGAACGAGTCAAACTGCATTTAATACATGCCTCAATTAATTAATTCATTGATAGATTGATTGATTGTTTGATTAACTGAAAAAAGTATACAATAAAGAAATCCAAAATTATAAGGGGTTACAGTGACAAAGCACTTTGATTGATCAAGAAACTTGACCGGAAATTAAAGGCTACAGGATAAAACCTACTATAGTTTATTATAAACAAATATACGCCTTTAAATAACTTTTAAATATATATATTTAATTTTTTATTACATCTATATTATTGTTAGACCTTCTCCTCTTTCCATGGAGGACATTTGTTAGGCCCCCTTTTTGGTTGGGCGAAAAACTAAAAATGGCTGCCAATGGGTTAAATGTAACCTTTCTCTTTCTAACACACACTCAAGCTACTGAACTATTTTCAACCCGCACACACACACACACACACACACACTCTGGGAGGGTTAGCAACCCTTATTTGTGAGTGTGAGTTCTCACCCTCAATGGCAAAACTGAAGCATTTGTTCGACCATTAAATGCGTTCCAACCAGGCAAGTAAGAAAAGAAGCAATGAAAAGGAGAAAGGGTAGCGTAAGGGTAGAGAAAGGGTTGGAAGGGTTGTTGAAAGAATAGGAACAGGAAGAATAGTGTGTATTTCTCTAGCTTCTTGTGTGTGTGTGTGTGTGCGTGTGTGTGTGAATGTCCTTAGCTGAAATCGAGCTACCCAAAGCCTCTCCTAAATATAAAAAAAAAATAAATAAATAAGGGAAGGGAAAGGAAAGGAAAGAAGCAGCACATACCACGCCTCCTCTTTGACCTACACTGGCAGGAAAAAGAGTTTGTAATATATAGAAAATTAATAGGGAAAAACAATTATACGAATTACAAAAGCTACATATATATAACACAAAAATATATGTATTAAATGTACTTATAAGAGATATTTAACATGTTTTGAATTTAAAGCCGATAATCGATCATAAATTGTCGCATTTGTCAATCAATATTTATCGATACTTATATATGACCATTTATCCTAAAATCATAGTTTAAAAAACTCATAACTCAGTCAAAAAAGCAGTAATTTTAATTCGGAAAACTGTTATGTGCTAGTTTTTACAAGGTTAATAAATCTGCATACTCAATTAATAATTACAAAATTGTTTAATTTTTTCAATTTTTTATTTTTGTGTTTAACCATGAAACCCCTTAAAAAATTTGGAAAAAATTTCGAAAACTTATTTTGCTGTCAGAAATGCTTAGATCGATTCGTCTGTTGATACTGATCAAGAATAAATATGATTTATAGGGTCTTAAATGACTCCTTCATTGCGTTTTTAGCTTCTAACTGAAATCTTAATACCTAGAAAGGGTATACAAATCAATATAATATATATATTTATATAAATTGTTAACAAGACATTAAAAAATGTTGCACTATTTTCATAATGATAATGATAATGGTTAATAGATTTTATAAAACATATAGAAGCAAAGACACATAAATCATGATTGATATAAAGTTCTCTTTGAGTATTACTCTATATATGTATATTTTAAAAATTATAATTATATAATATAAATGATGATTATTTATCAATAATAATATCGATAACTTTAACTATATATTATAACTTATTATAATTATATTCCATAGATACTATCTTGTACCTATTTAAAAAATTCCTTTTTGTAAATTAAATTATAAACTATAATTTATTATAATTTGTTGAAAAGATGTCCTGAAGCTTTTGCCTTTTCAGTGTACATTGTTGAGCCTTGTCTTTGGGCTTTGCGTGTTTCAATTGTTGTTGTTTTTTGTTTTTATGTTGTTGCTTTTATTTACTCTTTTATTTATACATTGTTTTTGTTGTTTTTTGTTGGTCTAGTTGTTGTTGTTGTTATTTTTGTTATAGTTGCATTTATATTATTGTTGTTATTGCTTTTTGTTTGGGGTCCTGTTTTGCGATTTAACAACAAATATTTGGACTATTGGTAGACATTCAATATGCAAAAAACGGGGGGCTCTTTTATATTTTTTTTTATTTCTTATTTTTTTTATTTGTTATTACGTAAAGAACTGCAATGGGAAGGAAAGAGACAAGAAGAGAGGGGGAGAGAGAGAGAGAGAGAAAGGGACAGTCAGGCGGCCATTGGAATAAAGTTATAGTAGAGGTAAACATATATGCATATATAAACAGGTGTATATAGGTAGATATCCGTGTATATATGTATATATATATCTCCCTATTTTTTTTTTTCATGCCCAACGAATCGCTGGAGCGTGCAGTGTGCGAGGGAGATGGGTAGGGCAGGGGGAGAGGGAGAGATGTCTCGTGTGAAAATATGTTTTCTTTCATCTCTTTTTTTTTCTCCTTGTTGTTTTTTACACAATTTGCATTTGCGCAAAAAGTGCAAAAGTTGACACACGCAAAACTCGGCAGCTTATTAGTGTCCATGTGTGGTTGTTGGTGTACTTGTTGGTGTATTTGTTGGTGTGTGTATGTGTGTATGGTAACACACATGTGCGTTTTTATATATGTATATATGACAGTGTCCGCCATTTTGCCGGCCATCAGTTTGCTCATTTTTTCTCCTTCGTTTTTTATTTACCATTTATAATTTTATTTGTATTTTCCTTTTGAACCATCCCTACTCTACTCCCTACCTCTTCCCTTTTATACCAATTGCACTTAATGAAATTCTTTTTTAACGTATTTTTCCCCCATCTCTTTCTCTCATTGCAGGTGAGTGGCGCTTGTTTATTTATTAATGGATTTTTCATTTACCCTTGAGAAACGATTTTGACACACAAGGATGGGCGCCATCCAACTTGACGTCATGCCGGGAAAAAAACTCAAAAATTAACCAAAAGTAAAAAAGAAGGTAGCATCGGATATATATAATATATATAGAGAGGGTTGGGTAAGAAAAAAAAAAGAGTGCAAGTGTAAATCAATTGGAAATAATTCAATGGCTCTGCTGTCGTCGAAGCTTAATGAAAATGGGAATCGATCAAATGAGTTTCCCTAATTGGCTTCCATGGGGAAAACTGAGTGACTTTTCTTGCTATTTATTTATTTATTACAGGGAATACATAAGGATTTGTGGGCAATCTATATTTTTTAAATTAATTAGAGAGTACATCAGTGAGAACTATGTTGTTTACTAATTAAAGCCTAACAAAAGCTTCACAAATTTTTGCTGCCTCATCTGTGGCAAGGAGTCCTCTGTGTCTGCTTGAGCCACAAAAAGTTGCATATGTCAACAAATAAACAAAAAACCAAAACAACAACAAATAAGAGTTTCTGATTTTTGCATTCGGAAGAAAATTGAAAAATAAACAACCAAACAAAGTGGCAAAGTTAGTGATTGAGTATAAACAAAGGCAATAAAAGCAAAATATGACAATGTTTCAGGGAACAAAGAGATAAGAAATCTGAAAAGTAAAGAAATTAAGAAGGAAAAACTACTTCAATCTGATTCATAGTAAAATTAAGCCTAATAATATCTCAAAGGTAGAGTTTGTTACGATCTAAACTCAAATACAGAAAGAAATAAATAAGAATAAGAATATAATAAGATATAATACATATATAAGAATATAAAAATATATAAGAATATAAAAATATATAAGAATAAATAGTATTAGTAAATAAATAGTATTACATAAAATAATAAATGAATTTATCGAAACTGTATAGAAAATATCGATATATTCATATACTTTGTTATATATATAGTATTATTTATTTTTCTAAAGTTAACTAAGCCTTAAACGAGCCTGAACTTAAATAAAACCATCTTCCTATTTTGAAATGATATATCCAATCTTGCCAACTTTTGATTTAAATAATTTTTTCTTAATAATTTATATTGCACTTCTTTCGATAAACCTTCTCAGTACTTTTTATAAATTTCAAAATCTCCAAAAACTTTATAATGAAGTATATTTTGCATAAGTTCTATTGGAACTTTACATTCCCTGTTAAATTTATGACTATAAATTTGCAAATAGAACTCTTTTTCTCAAGTGCATAAAATATTATATGTTTATGCCTCTTTTCTCTGGGATCTTCTTCTTTTTTTTGGGTTTTGCAAGTGTTGTGCTTTTGGCATTTTCCGGCATGACGGAATGAACTCAGATGCAGCCCACAATTCCGGGCAGAGCACCTACACTTTGAGACCCCGAAAGCTACCTGGCAACCTCCCACTGATTTTGGTCTAAGAAATATTACCAGCCTATAGTTACTCTTTCTTTTTTGATTTAAAATCTGAATAATTAAAATAAGGTTAAATATATATCCTTGAGACAGGAGAAATAGGTTTTTTAAGTAGAAAAGGGAAGTTATTTTTTGAATTCTTCCTAAGCTTTTAAATCTAATTAACTAAATTATGACAGAGCATCTTGGCAGCTTGTCTTTCCTAAGTATTTTTGAGGCTTTTTGTATTTTGTTCTTTCTTCTCACTGAATCTCCCCCTTATGTCCCTCTTGTTGTTGCTGTTGCAATTGCAATTTTCGTTGCTGTTGCACTTTGGTTTTGGTTTTGGTTTTTGTGCTGCACGCAGAGCACGCATTTCCAGCGTGAAATGCAATTTCTGCGCCAAAGGAATTTCAATTGTGTTGGTGTGGCCCAAGGAGAGCTGAATGGGGGAGGTAGTCTCATCTTGAATGCACTGCAAAAAATATTTGGAGACTTTTGAGAGAG